TTTTCAAAAGGTGCCAAATTGAAAAAAAACAGTTGCCATTTCTAGGCCAAAAATGGCACGATTTGAGCTTTTCAATAATTTTGGGACATCTCGACCTTTGCGAAATCCTTAATTTTTGCAGTTGAAAGTACGCCTGAAGGGGCTATTACTCCTTTGCTATAGCAACAAAGCTATTAAGTGCAATTTTCTCAAATTTACTATACATTCAACCCGATTTTTGTACTGTTTGATAACAAGTAATTTTTAGCAAAAAAAAACCGACTTAAAAAAAAAGTATATATATATATATATTTCATGATCCAATGATCGGATCTAAACCAAATTAGTATGGGACCACCTCTGAGACACTACCTTTCCGTTGCAATCGGTTGACGTGGTCCAAAGTTATGCGGTAACATACATAAAAAAAATATATTCCGACGAACTGATAACCTCCTCCTTTTTTGAAAGTCGGTTAAAAAAAAAAGTTACATAAAACATAAAGTAACCAAGGTAATCCTATTGCTTCCACCATTTTTTTTTAGAATAGATTATTCTTCAGAATGAGGCTAAAATTAAGTTTATACAATGTTCTGAAGTAAAAATGCAAGCCCGATTTTTGAAGAACAATAATGTACCCATTCAAGTGAAGCGAGATGTACATTCTATGTGTGCACATGCATACATACATACATATGTATTAAGAAGTGATTTAAACACTCTCGCTTAATTACGAAAATGCATTAAGATTAACCGTTTAAATTACAAATTGCAGTTAACATAAAACATACTACTTATCTACGAATGTAAATATGTGTGTATGCAGTCTTACGTTTTTTTTTCTCTTTTTAGTTTAGCGGTTTTTGACTTCGCCTTTTTGATGGGTCAAAGGGTTCGTTTTAATTGAAATGAAAAACAGCTGATCTGTAGTTATATATGTACATACATATATATGTACTTACACATCTCTAAATATATATATATTTGTATGCATGTACATATGTACATACATGCGCGTATGTGCACATAATTGAATTTAAACGAATAATTAGCTACTAAATTATTCGAAATACTACACACATACATATGTGCGATAATTGAAGTCAAATTCAAATGACTGACCTATGNAATAAACATTCCGACGAATTGATAACCTCCTTCTTTTTTTAAGTCAGCAATTTAAATGAAAAATTATTTTTTAATTTCTGTAGATTTCCATTTAATATTCTAAAAGTTAAAAGCATTTTTCATTTAAATTGCTTTCGTGAAATTGACTGTAAGTCTTAAAAATAAACAAGTAATGAAAAAAAAATGTAATACAATATTTTGTTAGCGGTAAAAAAGTCAAATTTTGTATGGAGTTATTTCTGTGTATTTATAAAACATACGTTCTAAATATAAAAAAAATCGGACCAAATATCTCGAGTTATGCCATTCCAAATATGAACCACATCGAACTTAAAATACAGGGGTTTTTGAATATCTCGACAACTACGCCCTTAAGCTCACTTCACTCTTTACTATTTATGCTATTAGGCGGGCTGTTAAAATAATTAATTCCCTTAGAAATTTGATGCAGTTCAACAGAGCTCGTCTAAATGCTGACTTATTCCTTTTAGTAATTAAAAAAAAATTTTCTTAGCTTATTTTGATTATCTACAAGAAAGGTCCATATACCAAATTATGTAGGACTAATACTTTTTCGTAAATACTTGCAATTTTAGTAAAAAAAAATGTTTTTATTAATGTATTTATTAATTTTTATTTTTTGAGCACGAGCCTAGATATTGACCAAAAATTGTCATCTTTCACACAGATTGTTTTTAGAGCATTATGAACCACATTTTTGCTATCACCCTGTCTAGCTTTGTTTGGATTTGCAGTTCGAATTGCATTTTAAAATTTTATGCTTGCTGCCATGGCAACCGTGCGCTTTTCATTGTTGTGAATTTACAATTGCAAGGAATATGCAAATGCAAGAGCATATCGACGCCTCCAAATCATACCATGCTGAGCCATTTGACTTTCAGGCAGACTTAGCATAGTATGGTTTGGAGGCGTCTATATGCGCAAGATCCTTATATATTTTTCATTGATGCTTTTTGCCACATCAAAAAAATGCATGCAACAAATTATGTTTGCGTTCATTTATTTTGGAGAAATACAATACGAAAATCTGGCAAGCCTGAACCTCTCAACGCTCTCAATTTCCGTAAGGCCGTAATTTAAGAATCTTAGGTTCTTAAGTTGCTTACGGTAAGTTAAGTCGCCAACACAGTTTCTCATATAGCGGGTTGGCCAAAATATTAAGTTAAGTTAAGTTACGGAAATTAAGTCTAGACTAACTGAGCTTTAACAGTCTTCAAGGTATTCTAAACAAACCGGCATATTTTCCTTTCCAGTATTTGAAATAAATATTCAAAATTAACATTCAGTGCCAATATGTTGAGGGGAACTTCACGATTTCGTATCTAAATACTTACGTACATACATACATACTTATGTGGAATTGGACTTCTGCACCTAGTAAGCGAGTTCAATTTGAATAGACTAATGAACTCACGACTGCATTTGAATAGTTCGCAATTTACAGTGCGTAAACAGAGACAGAAATGCTTTTGGGGTTTGATTGAAATGTATTTTTCCCCAATATTTGTCTATATAAAAATACATAATTACATCTAAAATGTAAAATAAAGTTATTAAAGTTCACTGCAACATTTGTTTGTTTAACTGTTAACCAGCGGCCTTAAAGAATAAAACAAAAAAAACAGTAAAAAAGTCTAACACCCCTACGAATTCGTAGCTCCGTTCCGAAAATTCGAAAATTGGTGTGCTGTAATCCGATCGTAACTATCAACGGCGTTGCCAACTAAAATAGTGAAATTCGAAGTTCTTATTCAGCTGCTTTGACAGAAACAAATCAAAATAAATATAATCACAAGTGAACAGTGAAATTAAAAAAAATGTTTAATCGTATTTGAAAAAGCTTTTCCTTAATTAAGTAAAATAGAATGGATTCAGTGGCCGGTGCACTTTTGTCTCAGGAGGAAGAACATGCTGCAGTCAACTGTTGCATTAATATACAAAGGAGATTGCTACGAGACAGTTCTGATCCATTTAGCTTAAATGATAAATATATGCTCCCTCTTTTTAAGGGCGTCCATTCAACTAAATATTGTGTTGCTTTAAATCTTGCAACGCTTTCCCGAAATTCCACCACATCCTCTTTAACTATTAGAAAGCCTCGGGCAATGTCCGGTCTTTCGCTCATGCATTCCACCAGTTTTTCGTATTGCGAGCGATTTGTTCTGATTGTCGACTTGATAATTTTGTAAACATTTAATAATACATTGTTTTTTATTCACACTTCAACTTACATACATATTTTTGCGTTTCCACACTTTATTTTATTGATATTTTAAAAGAATTCGCTTCGCTCCGACACCAGTTGCTCTTCGTAGAAAATTTCCGACAAATACATACAAATTACAGCTACGTCGGATTCAGGCATACCAACATTACGAATTTCGAAGATGGTCTCCGAATTTCGAAATTACGATACGGCAACGCGGATTACAGCATACCAATTTTAAGATTCGTAGCAAAATCGAATCTACGACGGATTACAGCATAGGGGTGTAAGTTCGGATAAAGCCGAACATTAAATGCCCGGTGACGTATTAAATCTAGTTTTATACCCTTCCGAAAACTCCCGTTACATGGTAAACTAGGGTGGTTTTATGCCTATTTCACACATCTTCGATAGTATCGATCTCTAATCGCGAAAAATGTTGTAGTTACAGAAAGTGCCGTTACGAAGTTACGGTGAAAACAATTTTAATGTAAGCGCCAACTCCGTTTACATTTTTTGTGATGTCGGCATGTTGCTTACACTAAGATTTTCTATTTAAAATTTACCTCTGTTTTCACAAAATATTCCTAATTAAGAAAAGTAAGCTTCTGCATATACACTGTATATTATACAGTGACTCAAACAAGTGGCCACGTGTTGATTTTTTTTTTTAAATACTCACAATATTTTTCAACTATTTTTTTTTATAAAAATCCTGTCCCAGCTTTAACAAAAACCATGTAAATAAAAGTTTCCAACTTTTTAAAAAATTTAGGAAAATTGAAGATGGGTATGCCCATAAAAAATCCCGTCGATTTTTACAAATTTTTTTTCTGACGATGTTTACACTTTTTTCATAAGTATAAATATTAGTATACATGTATGGGCAGGTAAATTTACATGGCATGTTTTTTTTTTATTTTTTTTTTTAACATTGGTAAATTTACCCACTGAAATCATTTACTGACGTGAAAATTTGTGCAGAATACGAAATTGCTGTCAAGCTCTTCAAAAATTATTTTTTTCTAATTTTTGAATTTTTGTAAAGTACTTTCCAGAATGCCACGTTTTTAAAAGTAAGCTAAAGATTAATGGCCTTATTCATAAAAAATAAAGTAGGTTTAAAGAACTCTATAAAGTGACGTTTTAATACATTTTTAAATTTATAAACCTTTTTTAAAGGTACTTTATTTTTTATGAATAAGGGTGTAAATATGTAAGTTTAGAAACTGTTAGAAAAAAGTATACTAACTGATAAGCATTGTACTGAGTTTTAACATTAAATGCATGCTTTTTAAACATTTGCATATCACTTTGAATCTCATTTATTACATAAGCTAATGTTGAAGTTTTTTCCACTTTCTTCGTGACCTTTTTCATGGTTTCATGTCATGGTTTTTCTTGGGAGGCAGGCTTTTTGTTTAATATGTCTTCGGCAACAATTTCCCATATATGCCATTTCAACACTTTTGGAGAAATAAGCTGTTTTGAAATATTACAATACGGGTATCAAACAACAAAATACTTTTAAGGCGCAGTGAAGCACGCTGGGTATTTGCCAGTTTTGAAAAAATTTTGAAATTTTTATTTAGCTAGCTTATGGTGATCTCATTTCTACCAAAAAATTTTACCTTTTGATAGCAAATTTTCACTCTAAGCTAGCGATATGGTTTTAGGTAAAGTTTAGTCAATCTTTTTATATAAAAGTAACAAAAAATAATTTGAAAAATATTGTGAATATTAAAAAAAAAATATTAAACGTGGTCACTTGTTTGAGTTTCTGTATATGTACAATTATATTACACATTGAAAAAAAAAATGTACGAATTCTAACAAGAGTTTTGTTACTGTGATTATTTTAGTGTAACTCAATTCCATAGTCCATTGCAGACTCAAATGTGCATTATATGCTGAAATATTAAAAAAGACCTTCTCCTTTAAAATATACTTTTGTCGCTTACATACATATTTTTGCGGTTAGGGCTCGGTATCTTCAGTTAGACTTAATGAGATAAAGTTATATATATGTAGTTATAGTAGGCGGTACCACGCCCATTTCCCGAAATTCCACAATAATGTTATTTCTTTACAAGGGATTGTTGTGAGTATCAACTTTGCGTAAATTAGCGTCCTTAAATTTTGAAATATCGAAAATTGAACATTTCAGAACTATACCGTTACATGAAAAATGGGCGATTTCAAATATTTTCAACACATTGCATTTATGTGACAAGTACCGAGTTTGGTACAAATTGATTGAATGGTTACCGAGATACACATATGTGGTCGTAAGTGGGCGGTGCCACGCCCATTTTCCAAAAATTTGTTATAAACGTATTTTTTTGCTAAAGAATTATTGCAAACATATACTTTGTATAAATTAATTAATTATTTGGTGAAGCAGTTACCGAGATATACACATGTAAACATAAGAAGGCGAGGCTACGCACATTTTCCAAAAATTTATAATTTTCTTATTTTCCGCCAAAAGGTCATTGTAAATATAAATTGTGTGTGAATAAGCTTTAGTAGTTACTAAAATATCACAGTTTTCGTATTTTTGCCAACTACCGTTATATGGGAGGTAGGCGTGGTTATTGTCAGATTTTTCCAAAATTATCCCGAACAACTCACGAAATGCTCTTGAAGTAGTCCTCAAAAGGTTCCGAAATAATTCACAACTAGACACGAAATGGTCGTGAAATAGCCCTGAATTAGTCCAGAAATGTTTGTTTGTACACACAAGAAGCAATTACAAATTTTCTGCTGGGTTAGCGCAGATTTCACCCATTACGAGAGCTAAGACGTTCACACATCACACCAAAATAGTCAGACCTGTTTACTTGGTGCTTGCATTTCCTAATACCGTCTTCAATTTTAATGACATGTATACATTTGTAACTGACCATCTAGGCTACCTTTTCAGATAGGCCACGAGTTGTCTACTCTTCGACAAGTTATGTTACACGCTTCTTAATTACTTTTTTTGGCTTAGATCTTTCAAATCGCACACTTTTTTTTATTTTCAGGTGAATTGCTTGGCGACGAACATGATCCAGTTTATGTAGATGCTTATAATCGCTCCATATCGAACCCCAGCGAGTTTTGGGGTGAACTTGGGCGCCTAATCGATTGGTATAAGCCATGGGAGCGGGTTATGGATAACAGCAATCCCCCATTCACGAAATGGTATTGCGGTGGTTATTTGAATGCCTGTTACAATGCTGTGGATCGGCATGTACTCAATGGTAATGGCAACAAAGTTGCGCTCATATACGACAGTCCGCTAACGAACACAGTGCGTCACGTTACCTACCAGCAGCTCTATGATCAGGTATGCGGCGAATGATTTTACTGCAGTAAACGCAACGTTTAACTTGTTAACTCAATTTACATAACTATCACTTCTGTCCGTTGCATCACATTTTAGGTCACAGTTTTTGCCGGTGGTATAGCGAGCTTAGGACTTCAAAAAGGCGATCGTGTAGTTATCTATATGCCTTTGATACCAGAGGCAATTGTCGCCATGTTGGCCACTGTGCGCCTGGGTGCTGTACACTCCGTTGTATTCGGTGGCTTTGCCGCCAGCGAACTCTGTACACGTATCGAGCATGCGGAACCAAAGTTTATAATATCGGCCAATTGTGGTGTCGAGCCCGGTAAGGTGGTGCCCTATTTGGATATACTACATGATGCTGTGAAAATGTCAAATTGGAAACCGATTTGCAATATAATTTATATACGCGAAAATATATTGCGTAGCACCAATTTAGATTGGAAAACAGATATGCTCTGGGAAACGGTTATGCATTTGGGTGCACCAGCCGAATGTGTGCCCGTCGAAGCTAATGATCCGCTTTACATACTCTACACATCCGGCACAACAGATAGACCAAAAGGTGTGCAACGTCCAACAGGTGGACACTTGGTATCGTTGATCTATACGATTCAGAAAATTTATGGCATCAAACCAAGCGATGTGTGGTGGGCGGCATCGGACTTGGGTTGGGTGGTCGGACACTCGTACATTTGTTATGGTCCACTGTCATTGGGTGCGACAAGTGTGATGTATGAGGGTAAACCAGATCGTACACCCGATCCAGGACAGTACTTTAGGTGCGAATAGTTCGAATGGTTGTTGCTTTTAATATTCATCTCATCGCATTCTCTTCTCTCTCTACAACAGAATAATCGAACAACATCGCGTGAATGCACTCTTTTCGGTTCCTACTGCTTTTCGCGTCATACGTCGCGCTGATCCGGAAGTAAAATGTGGACGAAAACATTCACTTAAATCTCTGCGTTGCATATTCATTGCTGGCGAGCATTGTGATATAGAAACAAAGAGCTGGATGGAACGCATTTTTAAGGTGCCGATATTGAATCATTGGTGGCAAACAGAGTCGGGTTCACCAGTTACCGCGACTAGTCTCGGTTTCGGACACAGCCTCAACCCGCCAAGGTACACAACCGGATTGCCTTTTGCTGGCTATAACAGTAAGTAACGTGACCATAAAATACTTAAGATCACTAACATTACGTTACGATACGTTTAATCTCCCCAGTAAAGGTATTGAAGCCAAATGGCGATGAATGTGAGACTGCGAAATTGGGACGCATCGCATTGAAGTTGCCGCTGCCACCCGGATTCATGTCCAGCCTTTACAAAACCGAAGAACTCTTTAAGAAGACATACTTCCAAAAATATCCGGTAAGTTTAGCAAGTTAAGGAAAATTTGAATCCGTCTCCAAAAGATCGGTCAAAATGGGATTTGTGTGAACGAGAAATTACATAATGCCGAAATCGATTTGTCCCCGAACCAAATTTGGCAAGGAATGACGGAAATTCAGTCTGTACATTAATATGGCAAATCTCATTCCCTTTCAGGGCTACTACGACACAATGGACGCGGGCTATAAGGATGAAAACGATTATGTGTATGTGACGGCACGCGACGATGATGTCATCAATGTGGCTGGTCATCGCATTTCCACATCCAGCTTGGAAGATGCTGTTCTCAGACATCCCGATGTGGTTGATGCCGCCGTGTTTGGTGTGCCTGAAGCGACTAAGGGACAGGTGCCGCTTTGTCTTTACATACCCAAGGAGGATAGCCGGTTAAACGATGCGAAATTATCCACCGAACTCATTAAAATTATACGTGATGTTGTTGGTCCGATCGCTGCTTTCCGTTTGGTGGCGCCAGTTGAGGCATTACCACGTACACGGTCCGGGAAGACGATGCGTAAAGCTATGGCGGATTTTGCGAAAAATGAATTAGTCTTGCTACCGTCTACGATTGAAGATCCGACTGTTTTTGGTGGATTGAGACGTGCTTTACAAACTTTAGGCTATGCTATGAATGCACCGGATCCAGCTTTGGCTGTTAAGAATAAGGAAAATTAAAAAATAATAATAATAGAAAAGAGAGGACTTAATATTTTACTTATGTATGTACATATACATGTACGTTATATAATCTTAAATGATCTTTATTTGTGAGTTGCGTAATTAACTAATTTGTACTACTTATGTATTTACTTACCTGTAGGCTTACGTAACCAAAAAAAAAACGATGTAAAGTTACAGTTTATTATATGTATTTGCTTTAAATTATAAAATAAATAGTTGACGAAAGGTAAGCGTGTTGCAGTGACATTTTTTTGTTGACTAATTTTTAACTCGTACCAAATTAAAGAAGCCTACTTTCCATAGATCCTTAGTGGGCAATACTGTCCGAGTTTCTATACTTAGACAGCACTAAAAAGGATTGCATTTTATGTACAGCGGTGGAAAAATACATAGGGACGCGACATTTCAAAAAATTGTGTTTTTTTTTTGTTTATTTAATTTTTATTATTTTTTATAAATGTATAGCTAACTATAACAAAAACCATGCACATTTATATGTACATACATACATAATTCCGAATTTCATAAAACATGCAAAAATTTTAATTAGAGTTTTTAGAAAAACTTTCGGTATGCAGTTTTATAGCACATTAAATTTTAGTATAATTAAGAGCAAGTCTGAAAATTGATTTTTAGAAATTCTGTTATGTAAAGGAAAATGCACAGCACCATCAACAAAAAAATTTCCAAAAATCAACGGTAAGTCCTACTTTAAACTAGCGCTTAATTTTAATAGAACTTAATGGGCTACAGAACTACAAAAATGGAAATGGAATGGAATTTCTTTATTATATTTCGAAAATGCCGATAAATCGATTAATATCTATTAACTACTTGCAATTAATTTTTTATCATGCGATTAATCATTTGATACATTAATCGACTAGTAAATTCAATTGCCATCCTTAAGTCCCATCAGTGTATCCGGCAACTCAGATTCGCATAAAAAAAATTACTCAGAAGGAGTTCAGACATTTCCTGACCAGTTTTGGATTAACTGCCATTGCGTTCAGAGCACTCAAAGCCGCTTGGCTATCATGGTATGTGCTTACCTATCTAACTGAGTCTACACGTTTTAGTAGCTCGGAAGTCTAAATTAAGTGTTGATGGAAAGCTCCCGGTAGCAGAAAATCCCTCCACAAACCTTACCATCAAAGTTTCGCTCCATTAGTGAAAAAGTTCACTGCTTCCTTCCTCAAATAACACCGCCGCACCCAATTACGCCTGAGGGAAGCGAATGCAGGTAAAGAAGTGGCTATTAGCATTCATATTTCAGAGACGCAGTAATCTACGTGATCAGAGAAGAGATCGAAACCCACGTGTGTCCCAATACGTGCAGTCTCTTCACGTACTGCCAGGGTATAAAGATTTTTAAAATCAACCAAAATGATCCTTAATCTCGCTCTATGAGCAAACCTTACGAGTTGTTTTTTTTCGTGTCACTCCCTTTTCTCGGCAGAAAAAAAAATGCTAAGGCATTTGCATTTATTTCAATCAATGGAGTTCCTGAAACAAGTACAATAAAAAATAAATCAATTATTTGAGCAATTTTATGCGAAGAAGTACCGAAATTACAAATTTTTTCGTTGGCACTCGAAAATATAATAATTGTTTATTTTTTTTTTTAATAACTTAGGGAAGTTTACAATTAAAATATAATTCGAGTGTGCCAATGAAAAAATCAAAATTGTTTTTTTTTAATAACTTTGGAAAGTTTTCAATTAGAATATTCATATTAGAGGCAATGAAAGTAGGCATCAAATACAGCAATCTGTGAAGTTTCAAGAGTGTGCCCGCCAATTATAGGAAAAATTGCAGCATGCAGAATATCTGTCGTAGCTATGTTAGAATTCGTATTAATTTCCTCATGTATATATATTAATTTCAGAATGTAATTCAAGTGTGCCAGTGAAAATTGTAAAATTGGAATTTTTGTTTCACAAATCATTGTCATCTTATAATCAATGTAACAATTTTTTTAATTTTAAAAGTTTAAGTTACTTCAAAATGTCAACATTAAACGGTGAAAATGCTCTTCTTACCAAAACAAACCAATATAGAGTAATAAAACTAGTGTGCCACAAAAAAAAACATACATTGATTATAAGGTGACGATGGTTTGCGAAACAAAAATTCCAATTATACAATTTATATTGTCACACCCGAATTACATTCTTAAATTGTTTTATACATGAAGAAATTAATACATATACTATATATATAATCGTGAAGAATACTGTACTTTTAAATAATATGACTTTTAAGTTAAGGCGTGCGGGTAAACGTGATAGCTGACTGTCTATGGTGCTACGGTGCGTATGCGTTACAGACACGACTACTGGTACATATATGAGAACGAGTTGTTATTTTGACTTTTTTAAATACAATTTCGCGATAGAAAACACGTTTTTTTTTCGAAAAATTTAACAACTCGTGAGATTTGCTCATATGTACATATATATGTATACGTCTTTGAAACGCTACAGCCTAAAAACACACTAGCACTCGCATATCACGCACAACTAAGTATGTTTGAACTCCTAAATTCAGGATAAATGCTTGTACGAGTACTATATTCAAGTATTTTTGCACATTTTTGCGATTTTGGAACTGGAATAACAAGACTGGTAGGGGGAATTGAGAAAGTAGACACAAGTAAGTATGTACGACGCCGCCAATTTGTGCCACATGTCGGCTAAACGCAGGCACACAAACATATGACTGCATTTAGTAAAACCGTTAGTTATTGACTTGTTACATTTGTTNTATATATGTATACGTCTTTGAAACGCTACAGCCTAAAAACACACTAGCACTCGCATATCACGCACAACTAAGTATGTTTGAACTCCTAAATTCAGGATAAATGCTTGTACGAGTACTATATTCAAGTATTTTTGCACATTTTTGCGATTTTGGAACTGGAATAACCACACAAGTGGCGGAATTGAGAAAGTAGACACAAGTAAGTATGTACGACGCCGCCAATTTGTGCCACATGTCGGCTAAACGCAGGCACACAAACATATGACTGCATTTAGTAAAACCGTTAGTTATTGACTTGTTACATTTGTTGTAGTAGTAGGCGAAAATTGCAATTTGTTTATGCAAATTTTATGCAGATTTAAATAGTTTTTGAATGATGGACAGGCGAACGCCTACTACATATTTATGTGCATAAATAAATATATATGTATATACAAACAGCAATAAGTGTATGGTCTTACTTCAATAGTCAATGAAACTGTTTAACCACTTGTATGTGGCTTGTTGTGTGTGCAGCGAGAGTGACACGACGATAGGCGACAAAGGAAAATTCANCATATGTACAAACAGCAATAAGTGTATGGTCTTACTTCAATAGTCAATGAAATTGTTTAACCACTTGTATGTGGCTTGTTGTGTGTGCAGCGAGAGTGACACGACGATAGGCGACAAAGGAAAATTCATTATAAAGAAAACAAAAAATTTAACTTTTGGTATGTCTGCTTTCTGCGAGCTGCCAGCGCAAGTACATACATTTGTATATATGTGCATATATAGTACGTTTATTAACACATATTGTACGTTATTAAAAGTATACATTAGCGAAGTATAATTTAGTTACATATACATACATAAGTACTTATGAGTGTAAATAGAAGAAATGCTGTCCACCACCAGACATAACCGACATTAAACAATTTGATTACGTTGATTGAATAAATGGCGGAGATTTGTATGTAGTATCTAAGAAGGCGCAGGCTGTGGGGCCGTGTTTGGAGTTGGCGGTGTTTAAATGTATTAACGCCATTTTCTCCACTCACACTCACCAATGCGAAAAAGTGACCAGCTCACTCTACTGCACAATACTCAGCTCTTGAGTTGATAGAAGCGGGTGGTACATGGCTTCTGCGATTTCACTATCACTTCGACCATTATTCATGTGTTTGCCACCGCATAGCAAGCTACTCGCATTCCAAACACGCTCTTTGCAAAATTAATTGCATTGTCTCAATGTAAATCCCAAAGTCATAAAGCAGAGATTACGCGAAATTTCACAGCTCACCTTTCTTGCTTAAGTTTCTACTTTGATTCGATTTTCTATGATCTTTGCATTTCAATACTTGAAGAACAGATTAATGTACATATATACATATATATCGACAAATCTACAATATTTTAGTTCAAGGCCTTCTTCAGGAGCCACTATTTTGTTTGCATGCACATGGGTATTTTTTANCCTTTGATTCGATTTTCTATGATCTTTGCATTTCAATACTTGAAGAACAGATTAATGTACATATATACATATGTATCGACAAATCAACAATATTTTAGTTCAAGGCCTTCTTCAGGAGCCACTATTTTGTTTGCATGCACATGGGTATTTTTTACCTTGCTGTCTTAGTGGCTTTATTACGCATTTTATTTTAAATGTCCTTAAGCAGAGATTTAAATATTTACACATCGCCAAGGCATTACATTGATGACGCCATACTCGGAATGCTAAGAAACATATGGTACCTACATAGTTGAAGTTGTTTTTATTTTTTTGAGGTTAAAGTGAAAATCTAAAATTCTTCTAAAGAAAAGCAACTAAGAGTAATGCCAAAAAGATTCAAGGAAATCTTGGAACATAGGACTTGATAAACAGTTATTTGGTAAAGCATATGGTCTGAACGCTGGCCAATATTAGGACGGGCCTTACACATTGTCGAGTCTTTACTGATGGCACTAAAACTAGTATGTACTCAGTCAAGATGTAAAGTCTATATATAATCCACAGGACCATTGATATAGATGTGGTAAAAAAAAGTGAAAATTTGCGAGTTTCCGTATTTTTAACAAATCCGTTATAGCACACCACCCTTCGGCCATCGAAACCACCGCCAGAGGCATCGAGTGACTGCAGGGAGGCAAAACTCATATTGCCCTCACTGTCCGAAGGAGCATATGGGACTACACAAACACCTGACTGTTAACGGCATGCTCGACAACGTCATTACTAGTTCCTGCCATGAAGAGAATAGGACGATAGAAAAATGTTTATGCTTCCGCCCCGCCTTTGCTGAGATTAGGTATATATGCATTGGCAGTCTTGCAATAAAATTTGAAAATCGTTTAT